GAACCCTGGACTTACCAGTCAAGAGCTTTTCAGTCGCATTGGAGATCCCACCGTGTCTAAAAGTACTCGGTGTCGGTATCTGAGGGAAATAGCAACAACAGTCAAACCTGTATCGAAGCCTCCGTTGACGAGAAATCACATTCAAAATCGATTGAAATGGGCCGAGGACAATATGAAGATTGACTTCTCTTTTTTGTTCACTGACGAAACTCGAGCAACACTTGATGGGCCAGATAGATGGTGCAAAGGCTGGGTAATGAACGGACAGAATCGCCATCAGCGTTTGAGACGCCGACAAGGCGGTAGAGGCATAATGATCTGGGGTGGTATTATTGGAAAAACATTTGTGGGCCCATGGAGAGTACCAGATGGCGTTAAAATGACTGCTGATGCATACATAGCGTTTATGAAGGAGCATCTTAAACCGTGGGTGAAAAGGCAAAGAGTTGCCTTCAGAAGGGCCATTGTTTTTATGCAAGATAATGCCCCCTCACATGCTGCTCACAAGACTACTGAATATTTGAAATAGTTAGGCTTCGATGGACCTCGAAAAATGAAGTGGCCAACAAATTCTCCGGATTTGAACCCAATCGAAAACCTTTGGAGCATCATGAAGTGAAGACTGTACGCCAAACGGACGACAATTCAGGAACAACGCTGAGTTGTGGGAAGCAATTCTTGACATATCTCGCGGTATTACAGCAGATGACATCCTACAATTAACAAATTCTATGGATTGTCAACTTCTTAAAGTAATTTCAAAACAGGGAAAGCACATTCTCTAATTTGTTTAAAACTGTGCCTTTGTTTGTATCTGTTATTATTTGTTTGATTATCTTATTTATTAGCTTCTTTTGATCATAAACATTCACGAGCAACATTAATAAACGTTTTGTTTGCTCAATTCTGGGAATTTTACTAAACCTTTCTAATAATTTGGCACGCTCAAATCACCGCGCTAATAACAAATATGGCGCCAGTTTGTTTACATTGCGCAGATCAGTACGAAAATTTCAGTGATTGCGCAGGCCAGTGTTGCCAACATTGTGTGAATTGATTGGACGGTTTTTGAAATAGAAAAATAGTTATCTCGATAATAATTTGGCACGCAGTGTATATGTAGATTAATATTTTATAACGAGTTATATTAATTTATGAACAAGCCAAGACACACGATCTTTACTTAATAAATGATTAATATCTGAATGCGTTGGTCTGCATTCGAGAAAGCTGTGACGTCATAGAAAGTGGCGTGATATAAGGTTATGATGGGTGTGTGTGGCGCTACGTAACATCATTTTTGGGATCGTGTATGGTGGGTGTGGATATATATATATATATATATATATATTTACTTAGTTGTGTATGATGGGTGGATATATATATATATATATATATATATATATATATATATATATCCACACACACCATACACGACTAAGTAAATAAATAAATAATAATAATTATATATGTTTGTGATGTGTGTGTGTGTATGGTGGTGGTGGTGGGAGGTAATTACTCATTTCGTGATGTGGTGTTTGGTATAATATTTTCGCCATCAATGTCGATGCATTTATTTTTTTTTTTTTTCGTTCGTTTTGAGAAAGTGTCGTCTGTTTCTTACTATTTTATTATCTTCTGTTTCAACGAGGTAAAGATATGGTTGTGTCAGTTTCTTTATTAGTCTTCCTGTTCTAAGCCATTGTTCATGAATTTGGTTCTAACTTTATCATTTCGTTTTAAATCAGCCAGTTCGCCTGGGATCCAGAACATTCGTTTAAGGAAAATTTGTCTTAGGAACACTGGTCTAATGAATATAGTTCTAAGAATGTTGGTCTAAAGAATATCTGTCTAAAAATACTTGTCTAAGGAACACTCGTCTAAAGAATATATATCTAACACATATTCGTTTAGAGAATTATGGTCTAATGTGGGTTTTATTAATAAACAAACAATGCATGCCAATAAATACTTACAAACCAGATGTTTCATCAGTAATTAATTTTGCTAATAGTGTCTTAAATATTATTCTGTAATATGGCGAATATCAATAAAATTGAGTATTTTGTACATAAACAACGTATTAATTTATTTAAAAATAGTATAATAGACCAATGTTCCTTAGACGGGTATTCCTTAGACAGGCTTTCCTTTAGACTAATATTCTTTAGTTAAACGAATGTTCCTAAATTCCGTTTGTTTGCGTGTGTAATATGGTTTTCATGTTGTTTGTTGTGTAGCGGTCTCTAAGTGATGATATTTCATCACAGCTAAAAAATAGAAAACCTTTCCCTTCTTTTACCGTCCAAATCCGTGTGATAAAAGGATGAGTGTTCCTGATACAACCGACGTTAAAATTTGACTACCACAGCCCCCGCCCCAAGAAAGGTCTTCGAATCTCATTACAGGTTACGCTTACAAACACATTTTAATTTTAGTTTGAATGTGTGGGGTTAACTCTCTTTCCCAAAACCACTACTAGTGGACACTCTCGGGACTATAAATACTCCGCGATATTTGTTCTCTTTCTCTTCTTACTTTCTCCGATTACACGTCAACATGTACATCCCTCGTGGAAAACGCGTTTCCCGTTGGGAAACGTAGGAACACACACACACACGTATACACTTTCACTCGCTGCACATCCTTTGAACTTTAAATGTTTTCACATTCCTTTTTTACACACATAATTGTCTTTTTCACTTGCATACCTTTTTTGTTTATACATTATCATTTATTTGTATTGGTTCTTGCTGTTTCTTTGTGTTTTATTATGGCGTACACACATGCAAGTCCTTTATTTTCGTTGTGGGTGTTCCAGGCGATAAGTGTTTTTCCCATCTCAAACACCCGACGTACATAACATTCGCAACAAATCTTTTGTTGTATTTCATTTTCTTTATCGGTTTCATCCACCCCCTCATTTTATGTCATATATTTTTTATCTATTTTCATAAGTGTTATGGGACCTTACTCATAATAACATAATGGACTATTCCATACGTAATAAATACTGCGCCTCAAGAGGAACCAGATAGTTCAGTCTGAAGTCTGGAGTGAGGTCCGTCAGGAGTCTATCAGTCAGTCAGAGCGAGCGAGTCAGTCAGAGCGAGCGAGTCAGTCAGTCGAGTCAGAGGCAGTCCGAAACAGAGTCGCATTCAGACAATTACTACTAAACCTTATTGTTCGTACTAACACTTTTCTACCTATCTGTATATATTCCTGTTTGTAATATATCTGTGTTATTCCATATCCGTGTTCGAGTTCTTCTTTATTGGTTCTACCTTGGACTATCACCGTGGTACAAGGAACCGGACCATAACAATCTTAAACCTCTGCTACCCTGTGATCATATCAAAGCACGGAAAGGGCCGTGGAAGTAAATCCAGACAGAAAACCTGGTGTGGAGCCACGAAGGCGGTTGCCTGTCAACACTAACAACTTTCTGGGAACACTTGAAGCGAAGCCGGCCCCGAATGTATTGCCCTGAACTTCTTTGGATCTTTTGTCAGTACGGCCGAAATATGGGGGATGTAGTCTGGGCAGCGCACATCCTCCATATCCCATCGCCTAGGCCTGTGCACTGGAGAGGTCACTCCAGTTTTACCACCAAAGGACTGAATTTTCACCAGACAAGGCGCTACCTTTATCTCGCGAGATAAACGAACGCCTACCATATAACGCTAAAAAGATGTTTGTACTGTGTCCCATAGCAGAATTTAGCACACACACCAAACAAAACACTTCTGTAAATTTATTTCCAACACATACTTACATAAAAAGGAAATAACGTCTCGACTCAATATCCTGTTTCGTTTCGGTTACATGTTTTTCCTCACAATTCGTTTTCAGCATTAACCACCTAAATAATTTAAGGGAGTGTGATATACAGAACTAATTGCTTCAGTTGCTTAACCTAATTTCTTGAAAAATGTTTTATGATCGTTTTATGATTTGTTCATGAAATTCTATTCGTTGTTTATCACGGTAGGGAGATTTTTTTTTTTTTAATGGTACAGTGCCGAATGCTGAGAGTGCTAAGTGTGGGACTTTTTCATTACATTTTTTGAAGATACTTCTCTATTGTTTGAATATTTCTTTCTACTACGCCATTAGCTTGAGGTTAATTTAGGCTTGTTGGTTACGCCACTTGGCTTTGACAAAACACCTGCTGGGCGGGGGCGCTTTTTAAGCCTAAAAATAGACAATTATATTCTCATTCTTTAACTTTTGCTTCCAGATGTAGTCGACGTCGATAAGGAACGCTGCCGCTGAGGTGCATTCGCTTCCTTGGCCCTCGCTTGACTTTTGAACTCTCTCACACACGCTCTCTCACACACGCTTGTCACACACACACGCACACTCTTATGACTAGTTTCAATGTTTTTTTCCCCCTTTCATTAGAATTGTGTAAGCATGTAATCTCGTTTGTTAATAACATGCAGTGACGTTTGTTTTATATTCAGATTTTTATTTTTTTTTTACCCGGGCTCACACTGAGTCCGTCAATATTATTTGCGGGATTGAAGCCCCAGGTGCTTATAAATATTTACTATACAACACACACTCATATCCAAAGTTTTGATTCTCACTAGAAAAGATGACTTATTTCTATCCAAACATACCAGTCTCCCGAAACAGGCTAATTGTTCTAGACTTAAAGTCCAATTCTTTTGAAAATTCTTTGTAATTTATTGATTTGAACTCTGGTCCATTGTCGCTGACAACAATTTGGAGCATGCCAAATTTAGTAAAGTTTTTTTTTTATACTTTTAGCGATTCGTAGACCTATATATGATGTACGTCAGGAAAAGCAAAAACAAAACAAAAAGAAAATAAACTTGTGGTACAATTATGAGATATGATATCCCGTATAACTGAACTCCGTTTGTTCCTACTTTTTGTCTAAGGAGTAATTGGTATTTTGTGATTCACTTCCGTTTCAGGTTTGTATTCGACGCCATTTCGGACAGTTGTTGACAATTTTCTTAATTTGGGACTTGCGGCTATATCATGTTGAGACAGTGGTTCTCGTACGAGCACCGAGGTTAAGCAACGTCGAACCTGATCAGTACCTAGATGGGTGACCAGTTGGGACTACCAGGTATGATGCGTTGCCGGGCTGGTTGACAGAGGTCATGGTGGTGACGACGAGGGAAGCCTGGAAGTGGATAGTGAAGCTTGATTGAATGGAATAATCGCTGTTGGATTTTGGCTGAATGGGAGATCAAACTAAAACGTGGTTGCGGTGGTGACGACGATAGAGTGTAATAGTGAATCTTGATTGAGCATAAACGGGAGTTGGAATCTGGTGTCCGTTACGTTGGATTGATCCAGGTCACGGTGGTGACGACAAGAGGGCGGTCATGGTGGTGACGACGAGGGAAGATATTTTGTTGTTCTTTGAAATAACTATATCCGACAGCAAGACCACTGATCTGGTGGTTTTGACGAGCGTGGGACTACCTCTTAATAGCTGTTGTTCCCAGGTTCACTCAGACCCAAGGTGGTAGTACCTGTTAGGGTCCCAGATATGGGCAAATACTTATCCTCGAAACTTGGGACAAAAATTATGAAAGTATAAATACTTTTATAGTAAAAATACCAGCAATACATTTCTATAAGAAAACACAAATTACCAGCAATACATTTTTCGTCAAAGAAAAAAATTACTAGCGATACATTTTTTGTCAAGGAAATTATTAATACAGTATTTACATTAGTCGGACTATTGTCCTCATCTTTGTCGCCATATTTGATTTCAATACCTGGTTAAGGCAGTGGAGAACTTTCAGAGGGAAAATTAGCAGGAGATAACTGATAACTGACATCCATCAAACATGGCACGTGGAACTAGAACAGTCTACCCCAGTGATCGAAAGGGTTCAGTTCGACATTACAACCACCTGAAGAAGGCCGGAGCGTACAACGGTCGAAACGTTGTGACAAATATGGCGACAAAGATGAGGACAATAGTCCGACTAATGTAAATACTGTACATAATACCTCATCTCAGAAATATAGACAAACTCCGAAATTATTAATGTGCCCAAGAAAATTAAATTTAGGTATCAAATGAACCATAAGGAATTGATATGCCACTAAACAAACAAAAAACAACTTAATATTAAACTACAAAAGAAAGGCACATGAATTGTCTCTTGGAATAAAATTATTCAAAATGAAATTAGAGTTGTTTTCTAAACAACTCCAAGTAACAACAGGAAGACGTGCGATCGTTTTGGTGGTTTTAATGAAGAAACAAGATGGTTACCTTTTACATATGGGTTAGTAACAAAGAATCATCGCTAAGTGAGATAAGTAAGATAAAATTTGTTATAGAGGAGGTAGTTGAGAGTTCAGAATACCATGCAATTCATTGAGCACACTTTTTTCTTCTGCTACAGTCACTTGAAGTACTCTCAACTTGTGCAAATAAACATAGTCAACAAATACTGAGCTCAAGAGATGAATTTTCAAGATTTTCGCTCGACGGAAAATAACTTCAATTTGTACCATTTACATATGCTTAGGGATTATATTGTCTAGTTATTATTTAGTACTATTCAATTATTGCTCACCCTGTGTGGTAATGCAATTATGCACGTCACTACACCAGCTGTGATGATATCCAAGGTCGGCTGTATGTAAATACGCTGGCACTCGCTATGTTCCACAGATTCGTCTCAATATTAGGGCCGTAAACGCCGTCAACAAGACAATGGTTTTCAAGACAATTGTTGGGTCGGGAAGTAGCAAAAGATACGATTTCTCAGTTAGTCGGCAATGTCTTTCTTCTGCTACGAGAAAGTGAACTTTTTCTGATTTCTTACTAAATCCCGGCCACGGAAATCGAACCCCTACGCACTCACTATCTGGCCGTTTCACTGACTGCCCCTTCACTCATTGTACTATTCATTATATGGATACTGGCTGGTAGACCCACCACTCCTTTCCGTCCACCAATCGGAAGGGGGGACTACCCAGACAGATTTTGGGTGGTCAGTCTTACAAAGGACCCTACTTTTACAACCATGTAAAAGCACTAACAAATTTTATGTTTGACAATTCAAAGATGAGCTGGAAACAAAATTCCTGAGAAACCCTGGTCATTAAATTGAGTTAAAAGGAAAGAGAATATATCTATTCATCTCCTAACGATATGTGAGAAATCGTATTGCTACACCTGTTTCCTCTGACAACAGTAAAAAGATGGTTATTAGCCCCAGTGGAATAAATTTAAAATACTAAACAGAGAACAACACTGGAGAATCAGATATCTGAAGTAATCAGCGCTTATGCTAGATTATGATGGCCTCCTCAGTAGGCCCAGATAGAAATAAATATGATATCGGAATCATTAATAATGAAGGAAAGAGATATGGCAACAAAGCTTTAGCAGCAGCAGCAGCAGTAAAAAAAAGTTAGCTGGTTGTCAAGCAGTTATAGCAGCACCAATAAGAAACTTAGGTTTAATGATCTGAGTTCCAATTTTCGGAGTCAAGTTTTAGTTTCATGGCCTAGTGAATGGAAGAGTTGCTTTATGAATTTGGTGACACAGTAATTGTGTGTTCAATCCTTGGGCTCGGTAGTAAAAACTTAAAATCAGTTGAAAGAAAGTGAGGTACAACTGAGCAGTACTAAATACGAGCAGGAAGAGACATCCCTGGACATGGACAGTAGAACAAGAACAATCTCTCCCCGTAGAGACTGCTGTTGGAAATTCTCTGAAGATTACCTGGATCGATAAGCACCTGATGAAGATCAAAGCACACAACTGCCGAAACGTTGTGATAATATCAACAATGATGAGAACAACAGTTCCAGTGTAAATAATGAGGTCAAAGAGGTTTGTGCTGAGCACGTCTCTACTACAAATATCAAATGTACCCTGAACAAAACCATTTTACATGGTCAATGCATAAGAAAACACTACTGAAATCAAAACATGAAGAAACATGTTTAAAGTATGCACAGGAGAGTAAGAATAAATTATTCAGCGTATAATCGGCTGGCTGGGAGTCTGTTCCTAATGTCCTTGATTCATTATCCTACATAAAACATTCTACACCCTATCTTTACAGGATTATTTGCTATTGACAAAATAACCAAAGAATTTAATTTGTCTTGAGTCACGGACGACCGCAAGTATGTTTTTTTTTTTTATCAGCTTTAGTTTTGGAAGATCAAAAACACACAACATGGAGACATGATGGCGCCATCGGCTTTGACAGCACCGCAGGCGACTGACAGAGTTGCCAGTACGGTGAATAGGCCCTGATCCAATCAGCAACTTAATAGTTGTTAGGGGTGGTTACATCCTAAGTGGCCCAGTTGGTTCTCATTCACGCACTTTTGACAATTCTGTTTTCTCACCAAGCGCTATGGTCGATACTCCGTCTGACAAACCTACCGCTTGAGGTAACACTTTCCCAGTTATTATTACACTTGGCAATCCTCCTTGATTTCCCTCCATGTCTCTTCTAAATGATCCCAATACACACAATCTGTGACCACTTCTCACATAGACTGGACTCCTGGATGGGCATTTATCTAGTACGTTGGTTTCGCACTGTGTTGCCTCTTCAGGTGTTAACATAAATCTGGTTGTAGCTACATTGAAAGTTGTGTTCTCTGTTTTCAGTTTGTAGCTTGCTACGACTCCTTCGAGATATGGGATGGGCGGGTTTATGATTTTAAAAACTTCAAAAATTGTTTCTCTTTCTAGTAAAGGTAAGGATACTAGTAACAACAATTTACCCTCATCAACCAAGGTGACGCATCTCAACGAGTTGTAATAATACCACGGACCACTTACCGGCACAGATGGTAATCTTAATTTGTGGGATAAACCTGTCTGGGTAGTTAACATCAACTTCTTCAGCTAAGGGGTCACTATGTTTGGCGATAAATGCCCCAATGATAACATGTCTAGTTGAGCTCTCATGTGCTTCAGAGATAACAGTCAAGATAGCGTAGTCTGACGCAATTGATTACTCCCTGTCAATAACTGCAAATACCGTTTGACGAATGTTCTCAACCTTCCTATTTAAGCCTCTAATAATTCCGTCACATTTCCAAATTCTCAACGTAAATATTGAACTGTACTTATCAATCAATACTGGTTCAATTTTCTTTCAATAACATTTAAATTGCACTTCGACACTGCTGAGGGCTTACCCATTATAGGTATCACCGCTCTTTTCTTTCTTCCGCATTAACCGATATATCGGTGCACCTACAAAAGTTATTATATAGGAATAAAATGTCGCTGCCGACACTTGAGTTTGAACATAGATTGCCAGTGAGCAAACACAGGTGATCCTATTATTGAATTAAGTAGATCATGTGACCATAGATTATATATATATATATATATATATATATATATATATATATATGGGAATTATCGTGACGTCTAAATGATCGTCATTTCTAGTCTATCCTCTATTACTATACGGACCTCTATTCTCTACTCTATTCACTATACTATTTCTCTATTCGGATCCCTATACGGATTACTGTTCGAGCGAGTATTATCGAGAAAGTTCATTAGTGCGAGTGATATTCGAAGGCGTCTGACAATAGCATTGTTCAACGGCGCATTATGGTTGCGATTACAAAGTCTCTACTACAACGAGCATTACGAAAGTGGCAACAAGTATTCGTTGAAATCACAAAAGTGGCAATGAGTGTTCGTTGACATCACAAAACTCATGACGACTAGAAATTGGAAGCTGATCTCTCCTCTGATCGAACTCTAACATTTCAGCGGGGGAAAACTGACTGGTTACATTCAGTGCTTCGAAAACTAGTTACATTTCATCATCGACGTTCAGACCGCCAGTCACGATGAATAGATGTCCCCTCAGGGAGGCCCCATGTCTTATTGCCTCAGACTCCACTCAGACTTCAAGTCGAACAAGCACATGCAGCCCACCGCTAAAGATACAGGATAATGGCCAGTTCCCTGTACCACTCCTCCTGCTATACTCTACCTTTACAAGAGCCAGATCGGGCCTAAAATGTAGTACTGTTGCCATATTGGGCAGACGGCAATACTCATCATCTCAAGTTTTTTTCATAATTAGTTTCCAACATTTCCGATGCTCTCCTTGTTCTCTCTATTTCACCTCCCATTTTCACCAGGAATTCTTCGTAGGGTTTTAGGCGAAGAGAAAACGGTTTCCTGGTATTCGGGGAAAACTCATCTGATATGTTGGATTTGTGAATAAAGACAGACTTTTGTAACATTTGCTAGTTTTTCCTTTCAGTGTCAGAGAGAAGGCATACAGCATATTTCTAGATTCTGTTAGCATTTTCCCTTCCTAGAAAATAAAACCTTCATTTACATTCTTCCGACTTCTCACTAACATTTCTTTCTTTCTTTCTTGTCATCATTTGCAGAGATGAAAGGAGAAAAGGAATACTTTTCAATATGGAAAGAACTCCATACATTTTTATATAAACTAATAAATGATGAACAAAATAGTGAAAATGTACTAGTGTGAACATAGCTGAAAATGAAAGGAAACATTTAACTAATAGGAATTGTGTCTATCTGCGATATGAACGTGTGTGTCGTTAGTCGCTTTGTGGAAAGAAACTTCTCTAGCAGGGAAGACCGTCGTATAGAGACGGCTACATCTTGGAGAAAAAAGACAGGAAGTGGAAGATTATTCCAGGCTTCTACAGTCCCCAAATTGCGCCACCTAACAGGTGTCATGGCAGACCAAGCGGGAATAATCACCACACAGTCAAGTACAGTGGTATAAATGTCATAGTCTGTGTTCTTATGATCTCCAGTGACACTGGTGACATTAATTTAATTGATAGTATTGTTGTCGGTTAAAAAATATTGAATGACGGAAGACAACAAAGAAAATGAAGACTTGGGCAAAAAAATATATTGCCAAGTTTATTGTCGTTAAAGAAATACATTGAAAATATGGTGATAGTTCACTAAGCAAAAGATCAATGTAGAATGTGAGAAGAGCGTTGTCCTGAAAAGGAAAATTTTGTAGTCGATGAAGAGTGTTGTCCTGAAAAGGACAGTTTTATGGTCGGTGACGAATGTTGCCTTGAAAAGAACAGTTTATCGCATATTGTTGCTGCTGTTGAGGGACGGTTGGTGTTGGTGATGGCTAACTAGTGCTGCTGCCGGGGAGAGCCGGTTGGTGTTGGTAAGGGCTAATTAGTGCTGCTGCTGGTGAGGGACGGTTGGTGTTGGGGAGGGCTAACTAGTGCTGCTGCTGATGAGGGCCGGTTGGTGTTGGTGATGGCTAACTAGTGCTGCTGCCGGGGAGAGCCGGTTGGTGTTGGTAGGGAGGGCTAATTAGTGCTGCTGCTGGTGAGGGACGGTTGGTGTTGGGGAGGGCTAACTAGTGCTGCTGCTGATGAGGGCCGGTTGGTGTTGGTGATGGCTAACTAGTGCTGCTGCCGGGGAGAGCCGGTTGGTGTTGGTAAGGGCTAATTAGTGCTGCTGCTGGTGAGGGACGGTTGGTGTTGGGGAGGGCTAACTAGTGCTGCTGCTGATGAGGGCCGGTTGGTGTTGGTGATGGCTAACCAGTGCTGCTGCCGGGGAGAGCCGGTTGGTAGGGCTAATTAGTGCTGCTGCTGGTGAGGGCCAGTTGGTGTTGGGAGGGGCTAATTAGCTGCTGCTGCTGGTGAGGGACGGTTGGTGTTGGTCAGGGCTAACTAGTGCTGCTGCTGTTGAGGACCGGTTGGTGTTGGTGAGGGGTAACTAGTGCTGCTGCTGCTGGTGAGGGCCGGTTGGTGTTGGTGAGGGCTAACTAGTGCTGCTGCTGGTGAGGGACGGTTGGTGTTGGTGAGGGCTAACTAGTGCTGCTGCTGGTGAGGACCGGTTGGTGTTGGTCAGGGCTAACCAGTGCTGCTGCTGTTGGCGGCTGGTGAGGGGCTGCTGGTGAGGGGCCAGTTGGTGTTGGTGAGGGCTAACTAGTGCTGCTGCTGGTGAGGGACAGTTGGTGTTGGTGTTGGTGTGGGTTAACTAGTGCTGCTGCTGGTGAGGGCCGGTTGGTGTTGGTCAGGGCTAACTAGTGCCGCTGCTGGTGATGGCCGGTTGGTGTTGGTGAGGGCTAACTAGTGCTGCTGCTGGTGAGGGCCGTTTGGTGTTGGTGAGGGCTAACTAGTGCTGCTGCCGGGGAGGGCCGGTTGGTGTTGGTGAGGGCTAACTAGTGCTGCTGCTGTTGAGGGCCGGTTGGTGTTGGTGAGGGCTAACTAGTGCTGCTGTTGTTGAGGGCCGGTTGGTGTTGGTTAGGGCTAACTAGTGCTGCTGCTGGTGAGGGCCAGTTCGTGTTGGTGAGGGCTAACTAGTGCTGCTGCTGGTGAGGGGGGTTTGGTGTTGGTGTTGGTGTGGGCTAAATAGTGCTGCTGCTGGTGAGGGCCGGTTGGTGTTGGTGTTGGTGTGGGCTAAATAGAGCTGCTGCTGTTGAGGGCCGGTTGTTGTTGGTGTGGGCTAACTAGTGCTGCTGCTGGTGAGGGCCGGTTGGTGTTGGTGAGGGCTAACTAGTGCTGCTGCTGGTGATGGGGGTTTGGTGTTGGCGTTGGTGAGGGCTAACTAGTGCTGCTGTTGTTGAGGGCCGGTTGGTGTTGGTAAGAGCTAATTAGTGCTGCTGCTGGTTAGGGACGGTTGGTGTTGGTCAGGGCTAACTAGTGCTGCTGCTGTTGAGGACCGGTTGGTGCTGGTGAGGGGTAACTAGTGCTGCTGCTGGTGAGGGCCGGTTGGTGTTGGTGAGGGCTAACTAGTGCTCTGCTGCTGAGGGCAGTTGGTGAGGACAGTTAGTGCTGCTGCTGGTGTTGGTGGTGTGGGTTAACCAGTGCTGCTGCTGGTGAGGGCCGGTTGGTGTTGGTCAGGGCTAACTAGTGCTGCTGCTGGTGAGGGCCGGTTGGTGTTGGTGAGGGCTAACTAGTGCTGCTGCCGGGGAGGGCCGGTTGGTGTTGGTGAGGGCTAACTAGTGCTGCTGCTGGTGAGGGCCGTTTGGTGTTGGTGAGGGCTAACTAGTGCTGTTGTTGGGGGCCGGTTGGTGTTGGGAGGGCTAACTAGTGCTGGTTGGTGTTGGTGAGGGCTAACTAGTGCTGCTGCTGTTGAGGGCCGGTTGGTGTTGGTGAGGGCTAACTAGTGCTGCTGTTGTTGAGGGGCCGGTTGGTGTTGGTTAGGGGCTAACCAAAGTGCTGCTGCTGTTGAGGGCCAGTTGGTGTTGGTGAGGGCCAGTGCTGCTGCTGGTGAGGGGCCGGTTGGTGTTGGTGAGGGGGCTGCTGCTGTTGATGGGGGGGTTTGGTGTTGGTGAGGGGTGTGTTGAGGGCTAAATAGTGCTGCTGCTGGTGAGGGCCTGCTGTTGGTGTTGGTGTTGGTGTGGGCTAAATAGAGCTGCTGCTGCTGAGGGCCGGTTGTTGTTGGTGAGGGCTAACTAGTGCTGCTGTTGGTGGTGAGGCTAACGGTTGGTGTTGGTGAGGGCTAACTAGTGCTGCTGCTGGTGATGGGGGTTTGGTGTTGGCGTTGGTGAGGGCTAACTAGTGCTGCTGTTGTTGAGGGCCGGTTGGTGTTGGTGAGGGCTAACTAGTGCTGCTGCTGGTGAGGGCCGGTTGGTGTTGGTGAGGGCTAACTAGTGCTGCTGCTGGTGAGGGCCGTTTGGTGTTGGTGAGAGCTAACTAGTGCTGCTGCTGGTGAGGGGAGTTTGGTGTTGGTGTTGGTGAGGGCTAACTAGTGCTGCTGCTGTTGAGGGCCGGTTGGTGTTGGGTGAGGGCTAACCAGTGCTGCTGCTGGTGAGGCCGGTTGGTGTTGGTGCGGGCTAACTAAGTGCTGCTGCTGATGTTGAGTGGGCCGGTTGGTGTTGGTGAGGGCTAACTAGTGTGCTGCTGTTGTTGTTGGGGCCGGTTGGTGTTGGTTGGTGTTGGTGAGGACTAGTGCTGCTGCTGGTGAGGGCCAGTTCGTGTTGGTGAGGGCTAACTAGTGCTGAGTTTGGGGGAGTTGGCCGGTTGGTTTGGTTGGTGTTGGTGAGGGCTAACTAGTGCTGCTGCTGTTGAGGGCCGGTTGGTGTTGGTGAGGACTAACTAGTGCTGCTGCTGGTGAGGGCCGGTTGGTGTTGGTGAGGGCTAACTAGTGCTGCTGCTGGTGAGGGCCGGTTGGTGTTGGTGAGGGCTAACTATGCTGCTGCTGCTGAGGGGTGTTTGGTGTTGGTGAGGGCTAACTAGTGCCGGGGAGGGCTGGTTGGTGTTGGTGAGGGCTAACTAGTGCTGCTGCTGTTGAGGGCCGGTTGGTGTTGGTGAGGACTAACTAGTGCTGCTGCTGGTGAGGGTGTTGGTGTTGGTGAGGGCTAACTAGTGCTGCTGCTGGTGAAGGGTGTTTGGTGTTGGTGTTGGTGAGGGCTAACTAGTGCTGCTGCTGGGAGGGGGGGGTTTGAGGGTAACTAGTGCTGCTGGTGAAGGGGTTTGGTGTTGGTGTTGGTGTGGGCTAAATAGTGCTGCTGCTGGTGAGGGCCTGTTGGTGTTTTTGGTGTTGGTGTGGGCTAAATAGTGCTGTTGAGGGCCTGTTGTTGTTGGTGAGGGCCGGTTGGTGCCAGTGGTGAGGGCTAACTAGTGCTGCTGCTGGTGATGGGGTTTGGTGTTGGTGTTGGGAGGGGCTAACTAGGCTGCTGTGAGGGAGGGCCGGTTGGTGTTGGTGAGGGCTAACTAGTGCTGCTGCTGGTTGAAGGGTGTTTGGTGTTGGTGTTGGTGAGGGCTAACTAGTGCTGCTGCTGGTGAGGGCCTGTTGGTGTTGGGGCTAACTAGTGCTGCTGCTGGTGAGGGGGCCGTTTGGTGTTGGTGTGGGCTAACTAGTGCTGCTGCTGGTGTTGGTGTTGGTTGAGTGCTGCTGCTGTTGAGGGCCGGTTGGTGTTGGTGCGGGCTAACTAATGCTGCTGCTGTTGAGGGCCGGTTGGTGTTGGTGCGGGCTAACTAAGTGCTGCTGCTGTTGAGGGCCGGTTGGTGTTGGTGAGGGCTAACTAGTGCTGCTGCTGGTGAGGGCCGTTTGGTGTTGGTGAGAGCTAACTAGTGCTGCTGTTGTTGAGGGCCGGTTGGTGTTGGTGCGGGCTAACTAATGCTGCTGCTGTTGAGGGGGCCGGTTGGTGTTGGTGTGGGCTAACTAATGCTGCTGCTGTTGTTGGGGTTGGGTTGGTGTTGGTGAGGGCTAACTAGTGCTGCTGCTGGTGAGGGCCGTTTGTGTTGGTGAGAGCTAACTAGTGCTGCTGCTGGTGAGGGGTTTGGTGTTGGGTGGGGGGCTAAATAGTGCTTGGTGAGGGGGTTTGGTGTTGGTGTTGGTGTGGGCTAAATAGTGCTGCTGCTGTTGAGGGCCGGTTGGTGTTGGTGAGGACTAACTAGTGCTGCTGCTGGGGAGGGCCGGTTGGTGTTGGTGAGGGCTAACTAGTGCTGCTGCTGGTGAAGGGTGTTTGGTGTTGGTGTTGGTGAGGGCTAACTAGTGCTGCTGCTGGTGAGGGGGGTTTGGTGTTGGTGTTGGTGTGGGCTAAATAGTGCTGCTGCCGGGGAGGGCCGGTTGGTCTTGGTGAGGGCTAACTAGTGCTGCTGCTGTTGAGGGCCGGTTGTAGTTGGTGAGGCTGCTGCTGGTGGGGGGGGTTTGGTGTTGCTAACTAGTGTTGGTGAGGGGCTGCTAGTGCTGCTGTTGTTGGGGCCGGTTTGGTGTTAGGTTGGTGTTGGTGAGGGCTAACTGCTGTTGAGGGGCCGGTTGCTGCTGGTGAGGGCTAACGTTTGGGGCCGGTTGGTGTGAGTGAGGGGCTAACCAGTGCTGCTGCTGGTGAGGGCCGGAGTTTGAGGGGTGCTTGGTGCCGTTTGTTGGTGAGGGCTAGTGCTGCTGCGGGGAGCCAGTTGGTGTTTGAGGGCCGGTTGGTGTTGGTGTGAGGGCTAACTAATGCTGCTGCTGTTGAGGGGGCCGGTTGGTGTTGGTGAGGGCTAACTAGTGCTGCTGTTGTTGAGGGCCGGTTGGTGTTGGTGAGGACTAACTAGTGCTGCTGCTGGTGAGGGCAAGTTCGTGTTGGTGAGGGCTAACTAGTGCTGCTGCTGGTGAAGGGGTTTGGTGTTGGTGTTGGTGAGGGCTAACTAGTGCTGCTGCTGGTGAGGGGGTTTGGTGTTGGTGTTGTTGTTGGGCTGGGCTAAAATGCTGCTGCTGGTGAGGGCCGGTTGGTGTTGGTGTTGGTGTTGTGGGCTAACTAGTGCTGCTGTTGAGGGGGGTTTGGTGTTGGGGCTAAATTGGCTGCCAGGAGGGCCGGTTGGTGTTGGTTAGGGCTAACTAGTGCTGCTGCTGGTGAGGGCCGGTTGGTGTTGGTGAGGGCTAAATAGTGCTGCTGCTGGTGAGGGGTTTGGTGTTGGTGTTGGTGGAGGGCTAACTAGTGCTGCTGTTGTTGAGGGCCGGTTGGTGTTGGTGCGGGCTAACTAATGCTGCTGCTGGTGAGGGCCGGTTGGTGTTGGTGAGGGCTAACTAGTGCTGCTGTTGTTGAGGGGCCGGTTGGTGTTGGTTAGGGGCTAACTAGTGCTGCTGCTGGTGAGGGCCAGTTCGTGTTGGTGAGGGCTAACTAGTGCTGCTGTTGCTGGTGGTGTTGGGTGTTTGGTGTTGGTGCTGGTGAGGGCTAACTAGTGCTGCTGCTGTTGTTGAGGGCCGGTTGGTGAGGGGGGTAACTAGTGGTGTTGGTGTTGGTGTTGGTGGGCTAACTAGTGCTGCTGCTGGTGAGGGGGGGTTGTGTGTTGGTTGGTGAGGACTAAACCAGTGCTGCTGTTGTTGAGGGCCGGTTGGTGTTGGTGAGGGCTAACTAGTGCTGCTGCTGGTGAAGGGTGTTTGGTGTTGGTGTTGGTGAGGGCTAACTAGTGCTGCTGCTGGTGAGGGGGGTTTGGTGTTGGTGTTGGTGTGGGCTAAATAGTGCTGCTGCTGTTGAGGGCCGGTTGGTGTTGGTGAGGACTAACTAGTGCTGCTGCCGGGGAGGGCCGGTTGGTGTTGGTGAGGGCTAACTAGTGCTGCTGCTGCTGGTGAGGGCCGTTTGGTGTTGGTGAGGGCTAACTAGTGCTGCTGCTGGTGAAGGGCTGCTGGTTGGTGGGGTGGGCTAACTAGTGCTGCTGCTGCTGGTGGTGTTGGTGAGGGCTAACTAGTTGCTGCTGCTGGTGAAGGGTGTTTGGTGTTGGTGTTGGTGAGGGCTAACTAGTGCTGCTGCTGGTGAGGGGTGGTGTTGGTGTTGGTGTTGGTAGTGCTGCTGTTGTGGGCTAAATAATGCTGCTGCTGTTGAGGGCCGGTTGGTGTTGGTGAGGCTAACTAGTGCTGCTGCTGGTGAAGGTTTGTGTTGTGTTGGGCTGGTGCTGGCCGTTGGTCTTGGTGGTGTTGGTGAGGGGGGTTTAGAACCGTTTGGTGGGTGTGGGCTATCTAGTGCTGCTGCTGGTGAGGGGTGGTTGGTTTGGTGTTGGTGAGGGCTAACTAGTGCTGCTGCCGGGGAGGGGCCGGTTGGTGTTGGTGAGGGCTAACTAGTGCTGCTGCTGGGGAGGGCCGGTTGGTGTTGGTGAGGGCTAACTAGTGCTGCTGCTGGGGAGGGCCGGTTGGTGTTGGTGAGGGCTAACTAGTGCTGCTGCTGGTTGAGGCCGGTTGGTGTTGGTGAGGGCTAACCAGTGTGCTGGTGAGGGGGTTTGGGTTGGTGTTGGTGAGGGCTAACTAGTGCTGCTGCTGGTGAGGGGGTTTGGTGTTGGTGTTGGTGTGGGGGCCGGTTGGTGTTGGTTTGGGGGCTAACTAGTGCTGCTGCTGTTGAGGGGGCCGGTTGGTGTTGGTGAGGGCTAACTAGTGCTGCTGCTGGAAGAGGGGTTTGGTGTTTGGTGTGGGAGGCTGCTGCTGTTGAGGGCCAGTTGGTGGAGTGAGGACTAACTAGTGCTGGGCCGGTTGGTGTTGGTGAGGGCTAACTAGTGTGCTGCTGTTGAGGGGCCTGGTTGGTGTTGGTGGTTGAGGGCTAACTAGTGCTGCTGCTGCTGGTGAAGGGTGCTTTGAGGGCCAGTTGGTGTTGGTGAGGGCTAACCAGTGCTGCTGCTGGGAAGGGGCCGGTTGGTGGGTTGGTGCTGCTGGTGAGGGCCGGTTGGTAGTGGTGTGCTGTTGAGGGGTTGCTAACTAGTGCTGCAGTTGGTGTTGGTGAGGGCTGAGGGCTGCGGTTTGGTGTGTTTGGTGAGGGCTAACTAGTGCTGCTGCTTGGTGAGGGGGGTTTGCTGTTGGGCCGGTTGCTGCTGGTGAGGGCCGGTTAGTGCTGCTGCTGGTGAGGGCCGGTTGGTGTTGGTGAGGGCTAACTAGTGCTGCTGCTGTTGAGGGGCCGTTTGGTGCTGGTGAGGGGCTAACTAATGCTGCTGCTGGTGTGAGGGTGCTGCTGCTGGGTTGGTGTTGGTGAGGGCTAACTAGTGTGCTGCTGGTGCGGGGCCGTGTTGGGTTGGTGAGGGGCTAACTAGTGCTGCTGCTGTTGAGGGCCGGTTGTTTGTTGGTGGGCTAACTAGTGCTGCTGCTGTTGAGGGGCCGGTTGGTGTTGGTGAGGGCTAACTAGTGCAACTAGTGAGGGGGGTTGGTGTTGCTGCTGGGCTGCTGGTGTTTGGTTGGTGTGGTGTTGGTGAGGGCTAACTAGTGCTGCTGCTGTTGAGGGCCGGTTGAAGGGTGTTTGGTGTTGGTGTTGGTTGGTGAGGGCTAACTAGTGCTGCTGCTGCTATTGAGGGGGGGTTGGTGTTGGTGTTGGTGTGGGCTAACTAGTGCTGCTGCTGTTGGGGCCGGTTGGTCTTGGTGAGGGCTAACTAGTGCTGCTGCTGTTGAGGGGTTGTTGTTGGTTGTAGTTCTGCTGCTGTTGAGGGTCCGTTTGGTGACTGAGGGCTAACTAGTGCTGCTGCTGGTGAGGGGCCGGTTGGTGTTGGTGAGGGCTAACTAGTGCTGCTGCTGGTGAGGGTTTGGTTTTTGTGTTGGTGAGAGCTAACTAGTGCTGCTGCTGGTGAGGGGAGTTTGGTGTTGGTGTTGGTGAGGGCCTAACCAGTGCTGCTGCTGGTGAGGGGTTTGGTTGGTGTTGAGGACTAACTAGTGCTGCGGTTGGTGTTGGTGCGGGCTAACTAGTGCTGCTGCTGTTGAGGGGCCGGTTGGTGTTGGTGAGGGCTAACTAGTGCTGCTGCTGGTGAGGGCCAGTTGGTGTTTGGTGAGGGAGGGCCAGTTCGCGTTGGTGAGGGCTAAAGTGCTGCTGCTGCTAGGGCCGTTTGCTGCTGCTGGTGCTGGCTGGTGTTGGGGAGTTTGTTTGGTGTTGGTGCGGGCTAACTAGTGCTGCTGCTGTTGAGGGCCGGTTGGTGTTTGCTATGGTGCTTGTTGGTGAGGGCTAACTAGTGCTGCTGTTGTTGAGGGTCCGTTGGTGTTTGGTGTTGGTGAGGGCTAACTATTGCTGCTGCTGGTGAGGGCCGGTTGGTGTTGGTGAGGGCTAACTAGTGCTGCTGTTGAGGGCCGGTTGGTGTTGGTGCGGGCTAACTAATGCTGCTGCTGCTGGTGAGGGCCGGTTGGTGTTGGTGAGGGCTAACCAGTGCTGCTGCTGGTGAGGGACAGTTGGTGTTGGTGTTGGTGTGGGTTGGTGAGGGCTAACTAATGCTGAGGGCTGTTGGTTGGGAGGACCGGTTGGTGTTGGTGAGGGTAACTAGTGCTGCTGCTGCTGGTGAGGGCCGGTTGGTGTTGGTTAGGGCTAACTAGTGCTGCTGCTGTTGAGGGCCGGTTGGTGTTGGTGAGGGCTAACTAGTTCTGCTGCTGTTGAGGGCCGATTGGTGTTGGTGGGGGCTAACAACTATGCTGCTGGTGAGGGCTGGTTGGTGTTGGTGAGGGCTATCTAGTGCTGCTGCTGTTGAGGGCCGGTTGGTGTTGGTTAGGGCTAACTAGTGCTGCTGTTGTTGAGGGCCGGTTGGTGTTGGTTAGGGCTAACTAGTTCTGCTGCTGTTGAGGGCCGGTTGGTGTTGGTGAGTGCTAACTAGTGCTGCTGCTGCTGCTGGTGAGGGCCGGTTGGTGTTGGTGAGGGCTAACTAGTGCTGCTGCTGGTGCGGGACAGTTGGTGTTGGTGTTGGTGAGGGCTAACTAGTGCTGCTGTTGTTGAGGGCCGGTTGGTGTTGGTTAGGGCTAACTAGTGCTGCTGCTGGTGAGGGCCAGTTCGTGTTGGTGAGGGCTAACTAGTGCTGCTGCTGGTGAGGGGGTTTGGTGTTGGTGAGGGATAACTAGTGCTGCTGCTGTTAAGGGCCGGTTGGTGTTGGTGAGGACTAACTAGTGCTGCTGCTGGTGAGGGCCGGTTGGTGTTGGTGAGGGCTAACTAGTGCTGCTGCTGGTGAGGGGAGTTTGGTGTTGGTGTTGGTGAGGGCTAACTAGTGCTGCTGCTGGTGAGGGGGGTTTGGTGTTGGTAAGGGCTAACTAGCTGCTGCTGCTGGTGAGGACCTGCTCTTGGACCTGTTGGTGAGGGGTAACTAGTGCTGCTGCTGCTGGTGAGGGCCAGTTCGTGTTGGTGAGGGCTAACTAGTGCTGCTGCTGCTGAGGGCCGTTTGGTGTTGGTGCGGGCTAACTAGTGCTGCTGCTGTTGAGGGCCGGTTGTTGTTGGTGAGGGCTAACTAGTGCTGCTGTTGTTGAGGGTCCGTTAGTGTTGGTGAGGGCTAACTAGTGCTGCTGCTGGTGAGGGCCGGTTGGTGTTGGTGAGGGCTAAGTAGTGCTGCTGCTGTTGAGGGCCGGTTGGTGTTGGTGCGGGCTAACTAATGCTGCCGCTGTGAGGGCCGGTTGGTGTTGGTGAGGGCTAACTAGTGCTGCTGCTGGTGAGGGACAGTTGGTGTTTGGTGTTGGTGTGGGCTAACCAGTGCTGCTGCTGGTGAGGGCTGGTTGGTGTTGGTGTTGGTGAGGGCCAACTAATGCTGCTGTTATTTGAGGACCGGTTGGTGTTGGTTAGGGTAACTAGTGCTGCTGCTGCTGGTGAGGGCCGGTTGGTGTTGGTTAGGGCTAACTAGTGCTGCTGCTGTTGAGGGGCCGGTTGGTGTTGGTGAGGGCTAACTAGTTCTGCTGCTGTTGAGGGCCGGTTGGTGTTGGTGTGGGCTAACTATGCTGCTGCTGGTGAGGGCTGGTTGGTGTTGGTGAGGGCTATCTAGTGCTGCTGCTGTTGAGGGCCGGTTGGTGTTGGTTAGGGCTAACTAGTGCTGCTGTTGTTGAGGGCCGGTTGGTGTTGGTTAGCTAACTAGTTCTGCTGCTGTTGAGGGCCGGTTGGTGTTGGTGAGTGCTAACCAGTGCTGCTGCTGCTGCTGGTGAGGGCCGGTTGGTGTTGGTGAGGGCTAACTAGTGCTGCTGCTGGTGCGGGACAGTTGGTGTTGGTGTTGGTGTGGGCTAACTAGTGCTGCTGCTGTTGAGGGCCGGTTGGTGTTGGTGCGGGCTAACTAATGTTGCTGCTGTTGAGGGCCGGTTGGTGTTGGTGAGGGCTAACTAGTGCTGCTGTTGTTGAGGGCCGGTTGGTGTTGGTTAGGGCTAACTAGTGCTGCTGCTGGTGAGGGCCAGTTCGTGTTGGTGAGGGCTAACTAGTGCTGCTGCTGGTGAGGGGGTTTGGTGTTGGTGAGGGATAACTAGTGCTGCTGCTGTTAAGGGCCGGTTGGTGTTGGTGAGGACTAACTAGTGCTGCTGCTGGTGAGGGCCGGTTGGTGTTGGTGAGGGCTAACTAGTGCTGCTGCTGGTGCGGGACAGTTGGTGTTGGTGTTGGTGAGGGCTAACTAGTGCTGCTGTTGTTGAGGGCCGGTTGGTGTTGGTTAGGGCTAACTAGTGCTGCTGCTGGTGAGGGCCAGTTCGTGTTGGTGAGGGCTAACTAGTGCTGCTGCTGCTGAGGGCCGTTTGGTGTTGGTGCGGGCTAACTAGTGCTGCTGCTGTTGAGGGCCGGTTGTTGTTGGTGAGGGCTAACTAGTGCTGCTGTTGTTGAGGGTCCGTTGGTGTTGGTGAGGGCTAACTAATGCTGCCGCTGTGAGGGCCGGTTGGTGTTGGTGAGGGCTAACTAGTGCTGCTGCTGGTGAGGGACAGTTGGTGTTGGTGTTGGTGTGGGCTAACTAGTGCTGCTGCTGGTGAGGGCTGGTTGGTGTTGGTGTTGGTGAGGGCTAACTAATGCTGCTGTTGTTGAGGACCGGTTGGTGTTGGTGAGGGGTAACTAGTGCTGCTGCTGCTGGTGAGGGCCGGTTGGTGTTGGTTAGGGCTAACGAGTGCTGCTGCTGTTGAGGGCCGGTTGGTGTTGGTGAGGGCTAACTAGTTCTGCTGTTGTTGAGGGCCGGTTGGTGTTGGTGTGGGCTAACTATGCTGCTGCTGGTGAGGGCTGGTTGGTGTTGGTGAGGGCTATCTAGTGCTGCTGCTGTTGAGGGCCGATTGGTGTTGGTTAGGGCTAACTAGTGCTGCTGTTGTTGAGGGCCGGTTGGTGTTGCTTAGGGCTAACTAGTTCTGCTGCTGTTGAGGGCCGGTTGGTGTTGGTGAGTGCTAACTAGTGCTGCTGCTGCTGGTGAGGGGCCGGTTGGTGTTGGTGAGGGCTAACTAGTGCTGCTGCTGGTGCGGGACAGTTGGTGTTGGTGTTGGTGTGGGCTAACTAGTGCTGCTGCTGGTGAGGGCCGGTTGGTGTTGGTGAGGGCTAACTAGTGCTGCTGCTGGTGCGGGCCGGTTGGTGTTGGTCAGGGCTAACTAGTGCTGCTGCTGCTAGATTGAGTTGATGCTGCTGTTACAGGCCGACAGGAGCTGCTGCTGGTGCCGGGTTGGCTAGAGTTCATACACAAGAATGTTGGCCGCGGATGGCATTTTTATGAATCCGTATAGGCTAAATGGCGTGATAGCCGTTGTTCTGGGAATGTCGTCAGTAGCCACGTGGATTTGGTTGCATGCCACGATACGGTCGATCTATGCATGTACCATGCAGTCTTGATGCAAATTCACGGATATGAAGTACTGGGTAGCGATCAGGGATGGTTGAGGAATTGAATTTCCTGTAATCGACGCATAGTTGAAAATCTGTACTTTGGAGTTTCGGGACCAAGTGTAGCGATTAGGCATATGGGATCTCTGATGGACGCACGATTCTTTCGTTCTTTCTTCGCGTAGTCATATTTGTGCGGTGGCAATCGTTGTGGTGAAAATTTATGGTTGTTCTAATATTGTGCTGGGTCTGATACTTTCCTGAATCAATATTCTCGAATGGCTGTGTGATTTCTGTGTACTGATTCAACATGTCTATGAACTCATGATTGTGGCAAATTATGACACTGATTTCTGTCTTGTTGTAACGTCTGAGGGTAGCAGTGATATGGATGCTTGTTGTATTGACGACAGAGTTCTTGTATTCATGTACACAGCCAAATTAAAATGTGCTAAGAAATCTCCTCCGGGTATGGATGTCCTATGAGTAAATGATCATGTAAAACCGCGTCGCATGCCAATGTTTAAAGTTAGAGCTTTCGTTCCATAAGTCACTATGTTGGAGCACCTTGGCGTGGTGTAATGGTTAGCAAGCTTGTCTCGCTAGAACAATTACGACTGAATAGTGAGTTCGATTCTCACTGGGTGCCTCCTACTTTCGGCCTTGTGCCACATCTAAGATACGCTTAGAAAATCACCATAAGTCACTATGTGGGAGCCGTTAGCCGCTTAGAGGTAAAACAGAGTGTGTTTGACGGCGTGACCGTAGGGGGTTTAATGCTGATTGCTTCTCCTGTGTCTACTGTGAAACTTTAGTTGCCTTGTTTTTATCCCATACATAGAATAAGCTGCATTGTATTTTCCCCACCAGCTGGGTCCGCCGTTGCTACTCCCCGGTCTTTCAGCTTCCCTGGACCGTTTGGCATTTGCAAGGCATTTTGCAGTTCCTTTCTTTGTCATGGAAGATTTGATGGAACCAGCAGATATCTTGGTCTTTTTGCCTCTCCTGACTGCGTCTGCTCACTCTGCTGCCTCGATGCGGACATTTGTTTCTTGACCCCACCCCCACCTCAGAATATGTTGCATCTTTTGCATCTGCTTCTGCAACGTCTGTCAACGTCTTTTCTATGGGTCACGTGTGTCTGCGTCTGCATTGACAGGTTCGCGGGTTTCATGCAGTGAGTTAACTCACTCACCGAATGTGGAAAAATCCTGTCACAAACGACAGCCAGTTTGTTCAGGGCGATGTCTTCAGCCATTGATGCTAGTATCTGTGTCACAGTCATTGGTAGTCTGTCCATCCACAGAAGAGGGAGGGTGTATTCTGCCAGGGTGTGTTGGCCTAAGCGGATTTTCATGAAGCGCAGTAGCCGGGACTGGGTCCTATCACACCTATTGATGTGGGTAAAAATTGTCAGAGCACCCAAACCAATCCAGTAATTGCACTTTTCAAATGTGAATATGACTCTGTTCAACTATGCCTACTACCTCGCCGACTACGTTTGGTGGCACGGCTTGTACTGCGTTAGCGAAACTGGATTTCTGGGAGGTGATTCTCCGGGTGGTGAATATCGCTTCCAGCTGCAGAAACCAAATTTTAGTATTCATTTTATGAGGGTAGATGGAACGGGGTTGGTGACGTATTGACCGATATTTCGGTGGTGTTTTCATTTGATGCCATAGTGGTTACATGGCGTTTTTCTTTTTTTCTTTTTTTTTTTTACTGCATTAGGTTGAAAGAAAAGTTGTTGACTTTATTCACATGCTTACGAGAAAGAATTGTGTTTAGCCCAACAGGAATCCGAAATATTTTGCTCAGAAATATGATTATCCTGAAGAGACAGAAGGTAAAGTGCATGATTGGTTTAAGATAGTATTTCTCAACCTGTGTTCCTGAAACCCTAGAGCTGTACAAGAGGTCGCTAGAGATTCCGCAAGAAACAGTGATAGACTACTGCCCTTTTAAGTAATTTTAATTGTTTAATTTTATATTTACAATTTTACTACACACGTACGTCTAATCTTTGGAAAATATTTTGTTATTATAAAGGCTTCCACCCTGTAATTGCAGTAGACTAATTGAAGGGATCCCTGGAAGTCCATGCCTCAAGGAGATACAAAAAATTGTTCTGACAATTACAGCCCACACTTTACGAAGGGCTTTATCTATGTAATTTCTTTTTTTTTTTTTTTGTCAGTGGAAAGTGTCATGATGCCATTTCTCACCTTAGGTCCCTGGGCGGGACCTGGAAAGAAATGTGTAAACGCCAGAAATCAAAGAAAAATAATAATAATGTGATATTGGTTATTTATGTTTATTTTTGTGTGTGTTCACGTTGTTTTTGTAAATTAAAACCTTGTGGGAGGTCTCATAAACAAGCAATATGATTTTTTTGTATAGCCAGTTAAATTTGACATAAAAGGGGTAATTCTTTCTTTAAAACAGTCATAGGAAAATATATAACGCTTACCACGTAAAATACGATAAAAATATGAAAGAGATAGATATTAGTAATGATATATAATAATTTCTATGCAGAGGTTCCCTGAGACATGAAAAATATTTCAAGGGTTCCACAAGGGTAACAAAAATGGTTGAGAAACGCTGGTCTAGCATGTTCATGGGTTTTAAATCCAATTGAGCACAAAGTTGAATTCCCTAAAATGAAAAGTAGGAAACCGGTGACCACCCAAGATGGAATTGAAAGAATGCCGACTGGAGGAGGGGAAATATTGTAACGAAGGTGTAAATCTAGCAAAGTCAGTCGTCAAAACTACAAGTAGAAAATAATGTAAATATTCCTAAACAATAAACATTTATAAATACTACCTATGTCTGTACTGTTCGTGTAACTGTCCATGAGGAAAAAGTCCTACTATCTTTGCTTAAAAAAAATTAACTTTCTAAAAAAGTGGAAGGTGGGGGTTACTCCTTTGTAGCTGACACTCTTTCAATAATTAACCCTTTTTTATCCATACTTTGTTCTGAAACAATGTATTTTCTTTCTATCAATCTATTCTATAAGAGCTTTCTATAATAATGGGCATTCAGATGTATGTATGTATGTATGTATGTATGCCTTGTTCAAATTGTTGATCACGTTAGATAACACGCTCATTCCCAGAAACTGTAACTAAAGTCTGCTCAACATAGTTGCAGTATATGTTAAGCTCTGTGGGTGTTGAATAAACACAAATGCGCCTGAGCAAGTGTCTACAATGGGGATTGGCTAGCCGCCCTAGTAGACGGGTATTCTTCAGTACGAGTGGCCAGCTATACAGCTATGTATGTATGTATAAGATTAAGATCAAATAGGAAGCGTTTATCAATCTAACATGTTTCCCTTTTATTAACGCTTCATCAAAGAGAGATATATGGAGAAAAAGAAGAAAGAGACTCTGCTATTTTTACTTTCGCGTTGTTTGATTTTCATTGGTCAGTCATGTTTCACATGCATTTAACTTTTTAAACCAACGTTATTATAATTTGTGGTGTTCGAATTCAAGGAGAGACGACACGTCCTTTCGAAGTTTCAAGAAATTAACCGATTTCAAGCCTACCCGAAAAACCATCAATATTGCTATATGTATGTAAGTGTATAATAATTCTATGTATGTATGTATGCTTGTGTCTGACTCAAACTCCAAAACTACAATATTTAAATCCTTCTGTATGTCTCCAGGAAGGTTTTTTTATAAACAATTTATTTTTATACTCTCTATACAAGCGAAGATAATATAGAATTTATAGGTGCGTCTTGGTGTATTTAGAGTGAGTGCGTGTTTTCATGTAAACAGTTAGAGAAGAAGAATACAAAAACTTGGGTTTCTACTACGGGCCGTTTATTCATTTTTTTTTATATAGTGGAAACTGTAGGGAAACAAAGTTCTCTATTTCTCTAAGTAGTAAAGATAAGCAAACTCTCTGCATACGGATAGAAAATGAATTCGGTAAATATATAGGCAATCAGTTTGAATTAATCTACAGTTAAAAAAAGGAGAGCTTGCAGACCGTAACAAGCAGTTGGACTTATCTAACGATAGGAAACACGGCTCCAACAAGAGAAATGTTAATTGAAACACTGGGAATCTTCTTTGAGAAATAAAATCCAACTTGATGTGCTGCCAAAGATGTTATTTTTTCCAACCAGCTGCGTCTAAAATTTAGTACTAGTATAGACAAAATTCGTAAATTGTTTGTTAAATGTCATAATCTGGAACTTACATTGGCAGCAAACCGCCTGCATACGGATATAAAAATGAATTCAGTAGGTATATAAAAATAGAAATAGGTGTAAGACAAGGATGTGTCTTCTCAAACCTATATAGTGAGGCGAGAGAATTAGAAGTCCTACCAGGATTCATTAGATTCAACATCAGATATGCAGATGACACGGTGTTAATAGCAGACACAGTAAGGAAACTACAATAACTTTGACATAAGGTAGTGAAAATAAGCAAGAAGAAAATATTAAACATCAATTACAAGAAGGTGATATGCGTGGTTGTCAGCAACAGGAACACTCAACATGCAAATTACAAAATGGAAATACCAAAATCAAACAAATATACAACAATTTAAATATCCAGGGAGTTGTTTAACAGAGAACAAAAAGTGCGACACTAAAATCAAAAGGCACGCCGGGATAGCTAAAGATGCCTTCCAAAAGCTATGCAACGTATTAAGAAACAGGAAAATATTATTAGAAACAAAGAAAAGTCTACTGAACTATTATGTAATGTCTGTTCTCCTATATTACAGCGAATGCTGAACAATCTCATCACAGATGAATACGGACTCTACAGAAGGATGGTGAGAATATCATGGGCTGAACATGTGAGCAACGACAAAGTTTTCAAGAAATTGGAAACAAAAAGGACACTTCTATATATATATATATATATATATATATATATATATATATATATAAAGTTCTAGCTTCTGTCTGTTTTTTTTTTGTTATTGAACTCCTCCGAGAGTTTTAGAGATAGACCCCCACCCCCCATAATCAAATATATACACTGAAAGTACATTACCCAGGGTACTTGGATAAGTATATTTCATTTTGATCAAAGTGGGCTCCCGGAAACATTCCACTGAAAGTTTTTTTTTCCCTTTAATTTAAATTAAATTTAAATTTGAACAAGGTAATGACTCCTATCCAAAATACAGAAGGAGAAAGTCAGAAGATAGAGGTCACATCGGCAAGATCAAAATGAGAAAATCACCAATCAGTGGGCAATACTTTACAATACATATTTGTTGTGACACAGTTGGTGATATCAATGTTGGAAATCTGCACATCAATTCATCAATTCATTCAATCAAGTATTGCATCAAATACATTTCAAAGGGGTCAGATCAAGATATTTTTGTTCACTCTCCACTGAATTTTTTTCCTTTTGATTTAAATTAAATTTAAATTTGAACAAGGGAATGACTATCCAAAATATAGAAGGAGAAATTCAGAAGATGGTGATCACACCGGCAAGATCATTGAGTAATATTGAAATGCATCATTTTCTCCACAAACTATAATATTGATTTAAAATCAATCTTCATTTTCTTCCAAAAAAAAAAAAAAAAAAAAAAGTGACACGCAGCAAGGTGCGGGTAATTCAGCTAGTATACTTATGTGGACGTTGGATTGTTTATTTTGGTGACAATCATATATCCTGTCTACTTACAATCGATGTGTAAATACTCAGTTTATTTTCTATCCACATGCAGGTGGTTTGCTCCCAGTATCAGTTCTGAATTATTTTAATATCTTTTACAAATAGATCTCCATCCATGGTTTCTGCTATCGTCTATAAAGTAGATACCCATAAAGCATGTATACTTGACGGTATTAATGCAACATTTCTTAAGAAATGGGCTCCTGAACTGGCTCCCGTTCTCTCTAAACTCTACAATATATAACCGTCTGATTCTTCTAACTGCCTTTTTTGCCTTCTACTTTTTGGCAAATCCCTAGAGGCTCTAATCAACTCTGAATTGGTTAGGCATCTCAACTCGCAGTGTCTTCTTTCGGCTAAGCAATATGCCTTTCGCTTCTCTAGGTCAACTACTGATGTATTAATGATTATTACTGAAAGAATTTCTCAAGCTTTAGATAAGAATGGGGAAGCTCGGGCTGTTGCTTTGGGTATCTCGAAGGCATTATCAGGATTTGGAATGCTGATCTTCTTTACAGGTTGAAAGGTTATGGTATTTCTGGATTAATCTTTTAACCTAATCAATCTTTCTTATCAAATTGTGAAATGAAAATTGAACCTACGTTGTTTCAAATTTTCATCAACGACCTTCCTGATGGCATCAGTTCTCAACTTGGTATCTATACTAATGACACAACTA